AGAGTTACTTTGCATGCCAGCCAAGGTCAACCCACCACAACTGGAAGCAAAACACACACCAACCATTTTGTCCTCCAAATACACACCACATACACACTTATTCTTCATTACTTGCTTCCTCAAAGACATCTTCACAGGTGCACCAACAGCTGGTCCTGACGCACCAGCATTTGCCTACAATCAGGCCAAACCAGCAGATATTCTCCCCAGACAAAAAGCTGTGAAAATGCACACATCCCCAAGAAGGAAAAAATTTCTCGTCTCCTCTCCAGGAGTCTGTTGGTCTCCCACTCTGCAGACACCCAGCACAAGCAAAGTGCTACACTTCAGCTTCGTTCTTTGCCACAGCCTTGAAATTCTCTTTCCCTCTTTGGACACAGCTGCTCTCCAGCTCAAGCACCTTGCAATACTCCTGGGCATTTACCCTTCTGCTCCCCAAAGAGTCTTGTTCCTGAGTCACAGCAGAGGACATTGGGAGCACATAGATCCACCAGCATCCCCTAGGAAAATGAAGGATCCTCTAAAAAAAAGTCAGGACTCTCTAGAAAGGAAAAAACCACAACAGTGTCTCCTGGGAAAAATGCAGGTCTGCTTGCTCCAGCCTGCTCTGCTACCCAACGAAGAACAGAGGCTATGAGTACGGAGGAGGTGACTGAATTTCTCAGGCTGAGTTTGAGATACTTAAGGCAATTACACAAGTGTAAGTCTCTCAGCAACAGACTAGAACTGTCTAGATATCAGAGAGTGCAGATGTGCATTCCCATGTTTGCAGACATCATGCCAGTGGTATCTTCCTTTCTGGAGACCCACAGCATGCCATAGACCCAGGTGAGCTCATAGAAGCTTTCTTTAAAAAAACCCCAAACAGGTTCCTTCTAATATAAGTCCCAAAATACCAGCTTTATCAGCTCTGGAGTGCTTTGAGATTCTTTTCTCCAAAGAACTTAGCAAAACTGAAGCGCAAATGGGGGGGGGCAGTAACGTGGAGGTTTTCTTGACTCCCAGGAGAAAGTGCTTTGCTAATCTCCCCTTTGATAAGGGGAGACAAACTGTGGCTAAGATCATTGTTCTCCTTTTTTTTTCCTCAACTTCTCCTCTCATCTTTTAACCAGACATGCTGCACCAAGCATTCAAAAGACTCTGGATAATTACATCTGTAGTACATCACCTTGGGAGAGAGAAGCATGTTTGTTCTGTGACTTATGCTGGCACAACACCAAACAAACCTATCCAATTATTAAATACTTATTGCAAATTTAATAGGTCAGTTACAAAAGCAAAATATACCAGAAGAGCAGGAAGGAAAGGGAAAGTACAATTACAGGCTGCTGCTCTGTTGCAGCACTCCCAATTTCCACTGTAAGACAGTAGTAAATAATCTGACTTTCCTATGATAAAAACTGATGCTGCTATGCCTGAAGTTGTTACCTTTAGCAGTTTCCTCATTTCTGCAACTCTCTGTACCACTCCTTCCTGTTGGACATGATAGAACATCTGTGCCACAGCTGTAGTAATATTACCCCTGTAGCTGTCCCTTTTACTGAATGACACGTTTGAGTGGTCGTGAGACTTTAAAGTGGTTTGGGGAGACAGAAGCTTGTCTTAGATATGCTCACAGGAGCTTGGAGAGGTTAACTTGTGAGAAGGTAGCACGGGCTGCTGGATCTGGTTCCCTGCTCTTTTTTTCCTTCTCCATTTTCTTTGGTCTTCTTTTTCCCTCTCATTTTTGTGTTTCCTCCCTCTCCATTGCATGCCTGTGGGGAAATGGAACATGTATGTTTGTGAGGGTCATGGCATGGCATGAGGTCTCCAAAAATACAGTCCTTTTAACTGGCCTACATCCTAAGTGCTGCTGATTAATTCTCTTGAGGGCACCTAAATTTAGACCCACAACTTCCTCTTCCACAGTCCTTCCACACATCTAAGGAGTATAGCAATATAAACTTATTTATTGGGCATGGGGTGGGGGGACACAAGCATTCATCTACATTTCCAGAACTTCTGCAAGAGAAACTATCTGCGGACTGATTTTTGAAGCTTTCATTGCATTTCTACTCTGTCCCTCCTCGGGCCACATTCTCTGACTTTAAGAAGCAAGCAAACCCATGTTCCTGAGGGCCAAAGATGTGTCTTCGAGTACTTCCTGGTTCCCTTTCGATTCATCAAGAGCCATCTATTGGCCACCATCCTATCAAATGACTCCTGGGTATGACACAGCATAATTTCCTACTTCCCCGCAGTCAACTTGCATACTTTTAACAGCCACCGTGTGGCAACTTTGGGGAGAGAAATATGTTGCATTTATGGCCGTGAGGAAAGTGGGTGGGAGTGAGGGCACATGAGAAGCTGAGGCCCCCATGGTTGAGTTCCTGTGTGTGTGGGACAGCTACAGCATTGTTGAGCTAAATAATGAGGCACTCCACAGTTTACAAGAAGAAAAAAAAAAAAAAGAAGAAAATAGGATGTGTTTTCTGTATGGGTAGATTTTTTTTTCCCCATCCAGAGGATCTACATTCCTCTGTATCATTTTTATTGTGCACTGTCATAGTAATTACTACAGTCTAAGAATCAAGCATAGATCACATAAATTATATTACTGTCCAGTTATTTTAGGCATTCATACAACAATTCAACAGCAACATTTTAGACTCCAAACTGCTGTATGTCTAAGGACTTGACTGTAAGCACAGCAGGAGGCAAATGTCACAGATAGGATCTGAGGAGAGGGGGGTATTGATGGAGGGGCATAAACATAAGGCATACAGGCCAATGTGGTCAGCCATATGTTCAATTTATTATTTAATTAAGTCAACTTTTATACAGTTTAGTTTGTTTTGGGCACATGCTTACAACAAGGTGATTGGATAGCTCAGTCTGTACACGCGTCTCATGTCTCCAGTTCATTGGACCTGATGTTCTGTCCATGCGATCTGAAGTCATACTTGGCATGTAGAGGCCTTCATAATTAGGGACTTTCTGAAATCTGCAGGTGCACTCCTATCTATACTTTCTCAAGGCCTTCTTGCTCTAAACATACTATGTTCTCAAACCTTATAATTAGACACACAGCTAACAAGTATAAACATTGCATATTTTCACACAGTCTATAAGCATAAACATTACAGCTTACAGCTTCTAGTCATGTCAAGCAAGGCCTACAGAAATGCAATAGAAATTGATCACACAATTTGAATCCTGCAACAGGGAGGCACCTCTCCTCATCGTTCAAAAAGGGTTTACCTACCCACATTCACCTACAGAATGCTGCAGTAAGAATTTATTATCTGGGTGAGTTGTTTCCTGCCTTTGCTTGCACTGGCTTCTGCGAAAGCCACACGACGCTAGACTGAGCTGGGGCATTCTGGAGCTGGATTTTGAAGGTGTAGTCTGGGCTTCTGTATCATTTTATCCTGCTGGGCAGCAGGTGGCAAAGCAAGGTGCCTTGGCTCATGAGGTTTTCCTGCTTTCCCTTGAGCCAGCAGCCACAGCTGCACCTTCTCAAAACCACACATGGCACATGTACCAGCTGCCTCTGTCTGGCACAGGGCACATGGACACAAGAGCAGCAGGGAGCAGCTGGAAGAAAACCCAAAAGCTGGCAGAAGCCACAAAGCCCTCACAGTCCTGCTTCTCACCCACAGACATCTTAGCCACCAAAGAAAAAAAAGGGGACGCTCACGGCACCCAATAGGTAGGGGAAGAAGGAGGGAGAGCAGCACCAGAAATGCTTCAGGTAGGCAAAACCGGGTCTGGAAAGGGCTAGGTGGGACATGACCTGCTTGTGGTGCAACTAAAGTTGCACCCAACAAGCCGTGAGAAGAGCAAAGAAGATGCAACTACAGGGCCAGAAAAGAGCCTATTGTTTCTGCAGCTGTAGTAAGCCACACACTTAGTAAACTTGCAAAATACAAACTGACTTATTTCAGCGTCCACCATAAACAAAGTAATATATCAAGGCACATCCTGTTGAGATGGATTGGTACCCGTATCAAGCTAAACTGTCTTTCGTGTTCTTTTTATTGAAGAAGCATGTTTTTTATTCAAGACCTACACCAAGTCTTTCCATCCTCTACTCATCTGCATCCCAGAGCAAACCTTCTGCAGGCTGGTAACCTGCAGAAACACCCCATTTGTCACACACCTGGCACCAAGTAACCCCAAACCTAATATCACCTACTCCAAAATGAAATCCTACCAGCCCAAGGGAAGGAAAGAAGGACTGCGGCAGCCCTGTTTTGCACTCGTGTAGTCTGTACGGGCACTGGTGCAGCAGCATGTGGTAGAACAAAGGATATCGCCAAAAGAGAGAGAAATAAACTAGGTAAATGGGAATTTAACGTTTCACGACGGAGTCCTCTCGGCAGGGAAAGCTGAGCTGTTTCTGTGAGGACTCCTTACGATCCTGGCAGAGTCCCTCCAAGAGGGAAACTCCGAGAGATGCTCAGTGTGTCTCGGCTGGATTCCAGTGTTTACCCGGGCAGGCACCGCTCGTGTCGCTGAGGCCTCTGCGCTGCAGAAAGCCCGCATCCCACAGGGAAACGGCGCCGCTCCGTGCCTTCGGCAGTGGGAAGAAAAACAAGAAGGGAAAAAAGGAGAAAAGCAAATTGTTCCCGTGCCTAACTCCTGCCTTCCCGCTCCGCAGCAGCCCTGCCGGGCCCCCACTGTGGGCAGCGCCCGCCTCCCTCCTTCCCGTAAGGCGAGCGCGGCGCCGCGCCAGACAGCCTGGCCCGCAGGGGGGGCAGGGGGAGCCGAGCACTTCCTGCTCATCGTTACACAGCACTTTTCCAGCCTCCACGGGCTTTCGTCTCTGCTGCCGCTGCTGCCTCTCCCAGGCAGCCAGCAGAGATGCACTCCGCACTCCGCACTCCCCACTCCCTGCCGGGGCTCCGCCGGGCGGGAAGGCAGGCAAGGCTGGGCCCGTGCCCTCCGCCGGCTCCCCCCACCGTGGGGCCCGTCCCGCTCCCCCATCCCGGGGATCCCTCGGCGCCATGGGGCGGGGAGCGGGGAGGGAGGCGAGGGCCGGCGCGGCGCATGCGCGGCGCGACACCGGGCATATAAGGGGCGACCGGGGCGGCGCGGGAGCAGAGCTGGGGCGGCGGGAGCACACGGAGAGCGGGCACGGAGCCTTGGCCTCTTGCCTTTAAACCACCGACCCTCCTTCCTCAGCCGTCACCATGGTGAAGAGCGTGGGCAGCCTGGTGAGTCCGATGGGCGAGGCGGCCACGTCCTTTCGCCGTGAGAGAGGAGCGTGGCGGGGCGAGCATCACCTTCCCGGCGGGAGGGTGAGCAGGGCGGGAGCGCTGCCGGGGGCAGCTCGCCGAGCGGGGCACCCCGTTTGCCTGCCCTGGGCTCCCGAGAGGCCTTGGCCTGCGGGAGATGGCAGTGAAAGCGCGTGTGCCGCCCGGGCAGGCGGAGCCCCCTCGCCCCTGCAGCGGGAAAGCGGGGAAATCGCGGCGGGGGGCTCGGTTAGACCACAGGGAGGGGTCAAGTAACTGCGCGACCCAAGGCTTCAGGGAATCGGAAAGAGGAGGGAGATGATGTAATTCCACACTATGACAGGTTGTTGCTCATCGCCCTTTAAAATCTTAACGAAAAGGTTCTGTTTTTCAAGCGGGTAACGGGTACAACAGCAACAGAAGGAGAGGACGTAGTCTTAAGCTATACCAAGGGAGGTTTAGATTGGACTTTTAGAGGAATTTCTTCACAGAAAGGGTGATTAGACACTGGAGTAGGCTGCCCAGGGAGGTGGTGGAGTCACCATTGCTTGCAGGTGTTTAAGGAAAGTGGACGTAGCCCTTAGTGCCATGATCTAGTTGACAAGGTGGTGTTGGGTCATAGGTTGAACTCGATGATCTCAGAGATCTTTTCCAACCTAATTGATTCTGTGATACAGTACCCTAATTCAGAAGTCCCAGCTTGCCTTATGTCCTGCTAGTGTGTAGGGGACCAGGTGGCCTTCTAGTAGAGATTGGCCTGAGTTCTAGTGTGTTTCCAGGTAGGAGTTCATGGAAAACATGAATCCAGTTTTCTTGACTTGAAAGGACCTGCTAGAGCCCATTCCTGTACTCAAAAAACAGGAGTTGCTGCCATGAGAAGTATTTCCCTTGCTATGGTGCTGTCTGACGTTTTCAGTATGCTAATGCAGCATGTCACTGTTTAAATGGTTCTGTGAATACAAATATGTCTGTGGCTCTGAGATACAGAATAGTAATAAAGCCTAAACCAACACATGGAGAATACTGTGCTGGTGATGAAATAGCATGTGGTCTTGTGCACAGCAGCTGATGTGGTTGATGGACAACAATAGAGTATTTGTTAGCTGTAACTTATGAACCCAAGTCTCAAAAAATATTCTTCATGAAAACTTAGCGAACTCTTCATTTCAGGAAAAGTCTTGTTGGACTAGTCTTGCATTTTGAACTTGAACTTTGGTTGACGTGTCAGTTTAATCTCATTTTGAGGTGTCTCTGAGTGATGCTGTTTGGCATCCAAGTTAGTCTTCTAGGCTGTGCTCTTCTACGGTCTTCTACTTCATAAATTAAAAGCATGTCAGACCTGTGTGTCAGACCACTGGACTCTGAAGGTGTTAACATCTTACACAGGAATATACAAACTAAGACTTGTGGCCCCAGCTCAAAAACCTGTGCATGAAGGAGGCTCCTTAAGATAAATGACACGCCTCATAATTCAGGTCCTGGAGATGGAATGGTATGTGAACTCAACCTGAAATTGTTGTTCTGGCTCATACCTTTCCCCCCTTCCCCTTTCTCTATTTATGGAGGTACAGGAGGGGCAAACTTTGAGTAAGGTTGGAGGTTTTTGTTATAGGCAGAAACAGCTTAAAAATGGCAAGTCAATAAACTTGGCTTTGGAGGAAGAACCTGCTCTAAGTTAACTAGGCTTCCACTGTCCTCTTAGCTATGATCATTGATTAATAGTCTGCTGTAGTTTAAAGCACAGTTTTGTTGCTCATCCATGGAGAGTGCGGACTCAACAATCATGCTGACAACAAGGTTTTAACATCAGCAACACACAGAGTATTCAAGTACAGTGCAGCTGGGATTTCTGGATTAATTCTGGCTTTCAGTAAAGCAGGTTTGTATTCTTCTCTGATACAAAGCAGAAAACCCGTTCTTCTACTATCTACAAGAGCTTCTGTGAGTGATGTCTGTAAAGCAGTGTGGACATGACAGCTAGCTAGATGTGGCCCCTTTCCCTACACACCTCTTTGGAAACTGACTAGCTTCTAAAGAATGGCTACTTTCAGGGTGGTCCCTCTGGAGTACCTGCTAGTGCACAAGAGCTGCGCTTAGGTTGGTTTGTATGTATCATTGAGATGTGTGAGTACTCTAACTTGTAATGGGGTTTGCCAGTGGGACATAATGCCTCTTACAGCAGAAGCTAATGGGGTCTATAAACTTAAAAAATCTGATGCTGCCAAAGCTTTCCTCTTTGTACTAGATGCCTCTCTTGTTATTTAAATAAAGGAAATACTGAAAACTTGCAGCTTCAGCTACAGGTGATACTTCTAGACATCGTATCTGCTAGGGTGTTCGGGCAGTTGAACCTTCAGTCTGTTTATGCTAGCTTCTGTATTTACAAAAAAAACCTGCTGAATTACATAGTAACCAGTCAGCTGATGACTAGGTTAATCCAAGTTCAAGGATGACTTGATATGAGTTAAAAAGAATGTTTATAACTAAGTTTTAATCAAATCTGCCAGATAGCATGGACCTATTTTACCTATTGCTGAGAGCAGGAGACTCCTTTCAGCGCATTCTGTGGCATTTGGAGGCATTACCTGGTGCTGGGAATCTCTTGATGCACTAGAGGCTTTCATTATTAGAGCTTTTTCTCTCGCTTGGCCCTTGGCAACAGATGCCTGCTACCAATGTGTTTGCTGAATGCAGCATGTGCTTTTCTACTGGAGGACAATACAAGCCAAATGAGGTCTTGTCTGTGCACAGGGAGGTTGTAGGAAGAAGAATAAAGGCAAAACTGATCAGCTGGCTAGATGAGGTTTCCCCCAGTAAGAGGGAGAAATTGCTGGTTAACAAAGCTGTAAGATCCTCTAATAGTGTGACAAAATGGTCTCGTGGTGGGAGGTTCCTCTTCTGGTAACAGATTATTTGGTTTTTCATATCAAAACTTGTAACTTCACAGTTAACACAAAAGACAACTGTAGAAGTCAGTTGGACAGGTCAAACAGCTTCTTTGCCCCTCTACTGTGTTCTTTTCTCCAGGGAAATTAAGTTCTCTGGCAAAACCTCCAGAACTTCTCACTAGTTTTAATATCTTTTTAACTTGGAATGGTAACACCTTTGGACCCAGCATCTCTTTTCACTCGCACAGCAATTTTAGCTGATACTAGAGATGACTTGCAGGGTGACATCTGATTTGTAGTCAGGACCAGGTCACCAGTGGTGAATGGTGTGTGACTGACTGTAGTTATCATGCACTCCCACTTTCCCTATGTTCTGTGCAGTGGCAAACCTGAGGTACGCGGGCATATGAAGAACACGTCCCAGTGCTGGGCTTCCTTTGTCAGAATACAGTAATTATGTAGCTGATTAGAAGACTTAAGGGTTAAGAGAGGATGGTCTAACTGGCAGGTGCGGGAAGTGGAATCAGTAAAGAGCTGGTGATGTTACAGTGCAGAGGTGTGCAAAGCTATACCAAAAAATCAGTAGTAGGATTTCAAGGCCAAAAGAGTGAGGTTTGATTGAGGACCTTATGGTGTAAGTAGCTGCAGGGAACAGCTACCATGGATTGCTGTATACAGGGACATTAAACACTGTTGGTGGGAATGGGAGACTTTTGGAATTGGGGCACAGGAATGCATACTGTGTCAGTACAGGATGTAGGAAGGCAGGAAAACTTAACTGTTCCCATTTCTTTCAGAATAAGAGTAGGTGATGTGCAGTGTTACTACTGATCTTGTACCAGAGTAGACTGTGACTGTCCAAGATGCAAGCGATGGAGCCTGTGCCTCTGAGAGAACTACATGGGGAGGGGAAAAGTCTGTTAACAGGGAGAGATAATAATTCTGTGTGAAGTTACAGGAAGTTGTGAAGATTTTCACGTAGGATTGATTATATGTAAGAATGCTCATGCAGGACCTCTGCTTACTTGTTAAATATACTCATGTCCAGTCTGACCGCGTGCACTCTTGACTCCTCACCTGCATGGTATTCTTTAACGGGAGGAATAGTCTACTAGAATCAAGTGTTGACTTATTGTGACTGATTGCAGAAGCTGATCTTAATTAATTAGCTCCTGCACTGCAAAACAAACTACTGTGTGTATCTGGGAGTAACCACATTGTTTTCAGTTAGCTGTTGCTGATAGAACTCCAACGCCTTGGTCTTCTAAGCTGGGGGAGTACAGCAGCTGTCTTTTGTGTGCATAATTTGAAATGAAGTTTATATTAACAGCTCTCCTGAAGCTTGACTGCCATGAGAACAAAGCTGAAAATTGTTGTGGTGGCTTGTAATTTCTTTGAAAAAGACACTGTCAGGAAGTAGTTGATCAGCACTTTCTGCTTCTGCGTGAGATACTTGTTTGCCTCTTGATAGCATGCGAGTATTTATTGCTTTTGACATATTTCATTTCTATTAAAAACATCCACTTTTTGACCAGAAAACATGAGTAATGGCATGTAATGATGCTGAATTCCAAGGAACGTTGTCCAGAAATGATTGGTGTGACTAAGTGCAACACACAGACTTGAAGACTCTGAATTAAGTATTGGGTGTTAACTTCTGTAGACTGTATGTGTAGCATTGCTTTGGCTAGTGATGTTACATGTGGGTTCACTTGGCAAAATAAATAAAACAACTGTCCTGTGAGATTGCTTTGGAAAACATGCTGTAGAGTAAACCACTCAACATCATTTTAGTGTTAGCCGTTGATTGGAAAAAACATCAAACTGGAGGAGTGTATGAAGGTTTGTGTCTGTCCTTTTCAAATTCTGCAGAGGAAAGTCTGTCCCAGAAGAAAATGGAAGTCTTCCTTCCAAGACAGAAATGAGAAAATTGCTTATTAAAAACTGTAAGGATCACATTTTGGGGATAACACAGAGCTATCAGAGCTAAGCATTGTAACTAGAGAATTTCTAGCTTATGTTTCCACAATCCAGTGAGTTAAACTGAGCATTGTGGTAGTTTTCTAATTTAAGACTCATAAGATACTGACTGATGCTAGCACTGATGAAAGCAATTCATACTGAAGCCCTTACATGATGGTACAAATAACCCAGTTAAGTGTTTAAACACCATAATGTGTTAGGGCTGAGAGCTAGCGAGCATTGGGATTAGTCTACATCCTTTAGGAAAGGAGGGGGGAAATTATGTGTGGGTTTTTTTGTTTGTTTGTAGACTGAATTTGAGGCGGAACTGAAATCTGCTGGCGAGAAGCTTATTGTAGTCGATTTCTCCGCTACATGGTGTGGACCATGCAAAATGATCAAGCCTTTTTTCCATGTAAGTAGTTCTTTTTTTATTTCTGTATTAAGTCGTATATAAAAGTTTTTGTGTTGCTTGACAATAACATGGAGGAAAGTACCTTCTGCCATGTGTGATTGCCAGCATTTTCTGGAAAAGGGAGAAGTTGCAGAAGTATCTACTTTTAAAACTGTCAGCTTAAGTAGTCTGACCTTCAGTATAACTGGGAGCTAAAGTGTGGTTTAGCTGTCCTAATGCTTACATGAGTTTCGGATCCATAGGGACCTGCCAGTTGCATTGCCTCATGAGTGGGATACAGAGAGGAAACAATGCTTATCCTTCTGTACACACTTATGAAATTACTCCAGCCGTGTTTAGGTGGCAGTATTATCTCCTGATGAAGTGTAAGATAAGCCGTATCATCTTTTGGTGATCAGCTGAAGGCTGCAAGAGCAGGATTTTCACCTATGTCTTGGGATATTTGAGTCTTTGTGGGGAGTATGTTTGAAGAAGTCTCAACAGGCTACTCCAGAAAGAATCTGGAGCAGAAAAGAAAATTTTTGCTCTGATCAGTAAAACAGCTGCTTTATGGTAAAAAGGCATATTTCAATAGGGGGTTAAGCAGCACCAGCCTTACAATATGTCTTTTAAATGAAAACTTTCCTTGAACAGTGTAACTGCGTAGTTTTTTATTTATTTCGTTTTAGAGCTTGGGTGAGAAGTATGGCGATGTGGTGTTCATAGAAATTGATGTGGATGATGCCCAGGTAAGGTCTGGGGTGGTGCTGAGGGAGGACAGCTAAGGAGTTCCACACAAGTGACAAAGGAGAACTCTTTTTATGATGTCCTCACACATACTGAAACAAAACAAGAGATTACTTGAACTTAAAAATGAGACATAGGGCTTTGGCTGGAAAGAATTTTTTTGTTTTGTTTTTAGAGAACACCTGAACAGAACAAACTGCCTTGGTTATCAGCACACTTGAAGTCCTATGGCATATGTTAGATAACTTGGGAACACTGACCTTTTACTTTGGGAGGGAGTGTTAGTCTAAGGCCTTAAGCTGCTTTGATGCAGTCTTTGCTAAACCTACTGGTTCAGAACTGTCTGATGGTCTGTCTCGTCTCTCCGCTGGTCTTGGCACTGTTTCCTCTTCCATTAAAAATGAAATTAAATGTTGAATTAAGTGCAATAAAATGTCTGCTGTATTGCAGTTCCAGCAGTATTGAAAACGGACTTGAAAAATGTCAGGTTAAAGCACAAGAGTTGCCATAGGGCTTTTGAGCCTTCCAAACAGTCACAGATGCAGAGGGCTGTTTTTCTCCAGAGTATAGGTATAGGCAATGCGGTTTTGGTATTGCATGAATTAAATGTTGAAGAGGGGATCTTTCAGGTTTACCCTAAGGAGATGTTAGCACTAGTTTTGCTAGTGAGGGACTAATAGAAGTGCTTTTGTTTTATCTTGAGCAGTAATGGTTTTGCCCTATCACCTAAACAGAAGTAAGCTAGTGGATTTTTTAATTTAACATCCTTGACAACATTGTTTTTTTGTCTCTTCCAGGATGTTGCTTCACACTGCGACGTGAAGTGCATGCCAACGTTCCAGTTCTACAAGAACGGAAAGAAGGTAGGTTCTTCTCTTCTGGAAATGCAGCTGGGAAGCTAAGCACTTGAAAGAAGATTGGGAATAGTCTCTTGTCCCTTGATAATGTCTCTGGGGCACCACTAGCATTAAGACACTCCTGAGAGTAAGCAAGTTCATCTTAGCACCACATCAAATGTAACATGGGCCAGCAGCAGACTGGTGATCCACACTGTATTGTTCACAGGTAGTGAACTGAACTAGTGTTACAGGTCAAACTTACAGGCAGAGCTTCATTAGAGATAGTAGAGTGAGTTACATGTCTGGATTAAGACTGCTAGTCTGTCTGCGTAGCACCCTGCTTTTTACTTCATAAGTATTTGTTATCCAATGCAGCTCCTATTCAAGCAGAGACATAACTACAGGTGCCTATGGAATCCCACCCAAAAAGGTCTCTAACCTGGTTGAGCTTATATGCAGCAACAACTGTTTGGATTATTTCACATGGGGTCTTGTGAAGTGAAGGTCCTGTCCCTGTCAGGGGACTGAGGAGATCTCTTGTGCCTACTCTGCCAAGAGGTGGATGAGGTGGGATGCAGGTTATGCTCTGACAGCATAGTGCAGGGTAGTTTGAATAGCTCTCTGCTTGAACTCAAGAATTGTTGAGCTAAATGTGTTGTCTTGGGCTTTTAGTTTGCCAAGTAAGAGAGGCTTTTCCGAAGTAAAACAGTTCTTGGGTGTAAGTTCTGTGGCTGAAGACAATGGAATTGCACCTTGGAAAGTGAATGTCAGATGTAGGGTAACTTTCAGTTTAATATGGGGCCAAGTCCTGACTAATGATGAGCCTTTGACAGTTCTCTTAGGGTGAACTTCCACAACTTCATGATGTAGTTGGAAGAATTGAGATTAGTGTGACAGTCTTTTTTTTATTAAAAAAATAATAATAGTGTGCGGCTTTTTTTTATTAAGCAAGCAGTTTCATGGCCTGTAGTGTAGTTCTGCTCTGTACCTTGAGCCCCTCTTGCTGTGGGAACACAGCTGCTGTTTTTGAGACACGAATGTTGCCTTTCTCTTTTTGCCATGGAAGTTGCAAGAAGGATAATTGTCACAGGAGAAGCCAGGCTCAGGGACAGGTCATTTGGAACAGTACTTCCAGAATTTGATTGGTAGGGTCCTGAGCAGCACAAGGTAACTTTGATAAGTGGTGACCTTCAGAGTCTCTTCAAGACTCTATTTGAGTCTTACACAACATTGATTCAGGATCAGTGGTAGTCTGGAAGTGATTGTTGATAGGCTTTTGTTCCAACTTTTGCATGAGTGCAGATGAACATCTGCAAAATACTCTCTGTTTCAAGGTTGGAAAAAATTTTAGTCATAGCAAAGTTGAATAGATGTGTATGTGACTGGATGCTATGCAACTGAAGTTATGAAGCATTGAATGCAGCAGTTCTAAAAATCAATCTCTCTTTGCAGGTGCAGGAGTTCTCTGGGGCCAATAAAGAGAAGCTGGAAGAGACCATTAAAAGTCTAGTCTGATCTCCAGCCATGGAGACAGTGAAGCATGACTGCTTCGGCTAAATTATAGCCTGTAACTTTTCTACTTTAAAAAAAACAAAAAACCCGAAACAAGCTAGCTAGGTTAAGTGGATATTAGGTGGATATTCTCCTCTTGATCTATACAAAGGAGTACAATAAAGTGTAAATTCTTCACTTTTGGATATTACTGTGTGTTTCAATTAAAATGTGAGGAATTTCATAATAGAAATAAGGTGCTGCTTTTGCTGTGTTAAAGGAGTACTCTGTGGATACAAAGACTTTTGTCAAAGGCAACCTGATCTGTTGCTGGGGGTGGAAAATTGTCTTGCATGAGATAGCAATGACAATTGCTTTAGGAGAAGTCTGCTGCCTCCTTACTCAGATGGTAGTCACCAGGCTGTAATCTGGTTTACAAATAGAGAAATGGGAGTCAGAGAAAAAAGGGTGGTCACTGGGTGGAATAGGTTTTCTTTTGTTACCTCTTTTTAGTTAAAAGACTTAAAATTTTTCAAGCTTATTTCAGACTTCAAAGCTAAAACTTGTCTTTCCAGAGCATAATACCAATCTTACCATGGAAGTGCAAGGTAGGAGCTGCTGCCTTTATGCCTTTTCAGTTTTGCCTTGTCACTGGTGTACATTCTGTTCTATTAGTAACAAAGTGTGTTTAGTCTGAGTTGGACTGCTTTGTTCTTAGGCAGTAGTCTGGAACAAATGACTGAAGAAGTAAAATTTGCAATGCCTTAACTCAAGAGAATTTAGATTTCTATATTTTCATATCAAATAATTTTCACTTGATTGCACTGCTGCATTCTTAGAACGTATTGGACACTGTGTTGAACAGTAAACTGGAGTCTGTGGTCCTTCAAACCTGAATCAGGCTGTCTAGAGGAATGCTGACTTGCCAGCCTTCTTATACCTGCCATTCACCTACTCTTGGTACTGTTACCAAGGAGAACTGCTGTGGTTTTTCCACTGTATCAAAATGGCTTCCTTGCTGGCTTGGGTGTTGTCCTGTACAAGAATTCAGTAAATAGGGGAGCAGGGCTGTAGCTAGCAGCTATCCTGATGCTGTGGGTAGCGCTTGGTGAGCTGTGCTGCTCACTAAGTATCACTCACGGAAAAGTGAGACTTCCTGCTGCATATGCAGAAAGTGTGGAATGAGTGACCCTCTTTGTGGTAGTGAGCTCTCATGTGACTCAGCCTTACACTCAGTTCACAAGCATGCATGAATTTCTTCATGGCTCTTTAAGCTTCAACAAGGGGACCTTCAACAACTTGTTGTATATGTTCCCAGTTAGAAACAAGATTTTTCTAGTCCAAGAAGTGACCACACCCTTTACTTGAGGATGAGCCATCAAGGATCTTCTTGGATGTAAGCTCTAGGTTGTGATTATGCAATGAGAAGGACATGCAAAATGTTCTCCATTTGACTATTTGGCTACTTGACTAAGAGGAGTGCAGCTTTATGTTTGAATGGCTGTTCAAAGGTAAAGGGGAAACCACTACCCCAAGTGGTGCCATGGGCAGACTTGTGAGGAGGGTATAAAATGAAGCTGGTGCAAGAAAGTATTATTGACCTCACAGCATCTGAAAAATAAGCATTGCTTTTGAAAGCAGTTTCTGCATGGCTGACAGTCCCTCTGGCCAGTAGCTGGGAGCAAGAAAGGTTTAAACAATTCCTGCTGAAAGTTCCAGGTGAAGTTCAGTAGTTTGCCCCAACACCCTGCTTCATCCTTAAGAAATAAAGAAGCTACTTGAGTGTGCTGCAACAAAAAGTATTTCTGCTGACGTGAGGCCAGACCACATTGTTGCCTATTACAACAGGGGAAAGGTGTAGTCAATGGGACATCACTGCTTGTATGTTGGGTTTAGCATTTATTTACTTTCTTAATAGGATGCTCCTCTGTAGTAGCCTTGGAGAATCCAGGTGACAGTGACTTGAAATTCAAGTCATGATTGGGAAGACCAAAACACCTGGGACAGCTCTTGTTCTGAAACATGGGGTGCAAAGCAGTTCTTACAAGGGCAGTGAGTTCAGCTTCCTGTGCTGCAGTATCTTCCCAGCCTGAGAACTGGCATGTAAGCATGCTGTGATGAACATAACTTGCATCACCTTATTTGAAAGGGGTTCTTTAAGGCTTGGCTTTTTGAGGAATATGCAGTGAGGATATCTGTTTTAGGTAGACCTTCACTTTAAAGGAAACAGCAAGCACATGCTCTTAAAATACATAGTTATGCCAGAACTTGTGTTTGAAGTTGATCCTTGTCATTATGGGTGATGGAAAGAAAAGCCTATGCTTTGTTCTGGTTATGTGTTAGGAGCCTTACTTCCTACAGCAACAGTGCCTCTACTGGGAGAACCCCAGTTCAGGATGGGAACTGAACTGAGTCTTTCAACAGGCAAAGACAGGGCATGTCAGCCTTTAACAAAGCCTAGGTATAGCAAATAAACATTTTGTCCTACATAGAACAGGTATGAGTATCCTTGCTACAGCCTTGGGCTATGTGCCCTGCCGCTTGCGTATTAAGTAATAATACTTCACAGAGAGCTCAGTGGGTGCATTTCTTCACTTGTTTTCCATGTAAAGGTGTGAGACCAGTATTGCCATGTGCCAGACAGTAGTGCAGCATTCACTCTTTCATTAAACTCTGAGGTCTGCTGCTTGCATGAACAGAATTGGCTGCTTCATTTATCTGAAAAGATGCCTTTTATAGGGAAGTGATGAATGGCCAACTGACCTGAATGTTTGCAAAACTTGATGTACATGGCAGAAAAGAAACAACCTAGAAAGGTTTCTTCTGGAAGTAAGCTTTTTGGGAAGAAGTTCTCCCCTCAGGCAGTGACTGCAGTCTTTATCATTTGGCTATTACATGGCTGGAATCTGTGCCTTGCTGTCAAACAAGTAGAGCAAGATGTTTCTGTCTACAGGCCTGTTGCATAGCTTGGTTATAGTGGGCTGGCCAACAAGAAGAGAAGTACTTCCTTGAGCACAAGCAATTAGAACACATAGCTGGAATAACTAGGCTTCATGAGAGAGTACTAACTATAATGAAAGGAAGGGCTAAGGGGTCACAGTGAGTGGACAAATGCACTGTGTATGATCACATTGCAGCAACATAGTGACACTACTCCATGCATGGCTTCTGAAATGGCTATTGTGCACTTGGGGAAGTGCATGTCATGCACTTGGGATGCTTAACCACCCACACATCTCGTCTAGATCTCTTGCAGCAGTTCAACACCTAACTTCAACTCCAGCTAGCCATCTGCTCTTCATTCTTACCTACCTGAATGAAGTTAGAATTTTATTCCTCTCTGGAATTATTCCAATAAGAGCAGTGGTAGTTATTTTAATGTTTAAATTCTTAACTGTTCATTCATCAAAAGTAGCTGGATCTTCCAAGCTAAAAAATTACTTCTATTGTTTTTCCAATGCCAATAAATTGTAGCATAGCAGCTCCTCTCTGCTGTGCTCTGTTACGTGCAACTTTCAGCCACCCAAGGAATTGGTTTGAGGAACATGCTGGTGAAATCCTTGCTGGACTAACTCTATAGTACTGGTCCCTGGCCCTCGGTGAAGGGTGGGAGAGTTTCATTGATGAGTTGACCTTGGCTAGCTGCCAGGTGCCCACCAACCCCCTCTTATTACCACACACACTGCACCACCGCACCCCTCTCCATGCCCCTGCAGGAGAAGGAGAGAAAAAGGCAGAAAAGCTCTTGGCTCAAAATAAGCAGAAGGGGATCATTCTGCAATTAAAAACAGACTTGACTCAGGGAAATTAATTTATTGTAATTAAACAGAGTAGGATAATAAAAAATGCAAACAAATTACAATCTATGCTCGCCTTCCTCTATCCTTCCCCTTGTTCCCAGACTTGGTTTCAATTTTGGCTCTTCCACCTCCTTGCCTGAGTGGTGCAGGGGATCATCATCTCTCCTGCTTCTTCCCCTGATACACTGTGGGGTCCGTGGGATACAGTTCTTGGGAGTGTACTGTTCTGGTGTGACACAGGTCCTGCCAGGAAACCTGTTCCAGCATAAGCTCATTTCCACAGGCAGAAGTCCTGCCAGGAGTCTGGTCCTCTGTGGGTTCTCCAGTAGGTTGCAGCTTCCTTTGGGCATATCCTCCTGCTCTGGGCATGAGCACCTCCATGGGCTCCAGGTGGATATCTGTTCCACTGTGGACCTCCATGGGCTGCCTGCTTCACTATGGTCTTCACCACAGCTGCAAGGCAATCTCTGCTCCAGCCTGGAGTATCTCTTCCCCCTCCTTCTTCACTGACCTGAAGCTGTCTTACAAGGTGCTTTTTCTCATGTACTCTTGCTACTCTCTCTGCTGCTGTGGTGTAGCTTTTTTTGTTGATTTTTTTTTTTAATTCTCAGATATCACAGAGGGCTCAGCTTTGGCCAGTGACAACTCCCTTTTGGAGGTGGCTGTCATTGGCTCTGATGTGGTGGCAGCTTCTGGTGCTGTGTCGCAGTAGCCACCCCTGCTGGCCTTCTAGTACCAAAACCTTCCCATATAAAACCTCATACACTGACAGGCTGGCAACAGGCAGTGCAGGGCAGATTGGGCAGGGGCTTAGCAGGCACAAAGTCTTTGTGTTTCATCTGAAGCAGTAACTGTGTACCAACTCTACCCCAGCTGCTGAAGTCTTTATCTGTAGGTCTTCCTGAGTCAGAAGACCAAGCATGAAACTATGGCAGGAACAGTGATAAGGAGCTCAGGTGTTCTACTCAGTTTAGCTGAGTGGAGGTTGAACCATACTGTGGCATCCTTATTTTTAATGAAGGTTTCATGCAGGTGAGAAGCATACTCAGCCAGATGCCTCTGGATTTGGTAAAGCAGCACTAGATGAGTTTGAGGAACTTGCAAAAATCTTTCAAAGATGATGGGGAAGGACATCCACATGGAATGCAGTTTTTCCTCCTCTGGGTAGGGAAAGCTGAGATGGCCCAGGTTGGTAGACAGAGAAGGTGAGAAATTCATGGGAGCTGCATGAAGTCATATCTCTACCTGCAGCTGATGAACATAAATTTGTGATGTGCAGATCTCCACAAGGTGGCTGTGGCTGTCTGCGGGGTTTTGTAAGGTTTGATATGCACACAGGTAACCCCAGGCGCCAGGCTGTGGCTAGTTTTAAAGAAAATTTATTTTGACAGTCAAAAACACTGCAATGTATGTATCTAATGATTGATACAGCTGGCTGAAAAGGTGAAAATGGAAACTCTTTTTGGTGCTTTTGTAACAACATCTTTCATATGTGCAATAAAACCCCAGCCTGAGTTTTTCCCCTGTGCTTTATGGCCTGCCTGGTCCTCCTGTGGGAGCCTCCAGGCATGTCTGTGAGAATTTTATCATTTGTAGTAAATAATACCTCTCAGCAAGTTACCTCTCGGCAGACAGGCAAAGAGAACATATTCAGCATCCCGCATGAGCACAAATTCCTTCCCACGTTAAAGCTTTTCCCTGGCAGCAAGTTTCCTTGAACAGGTGCAAAGCTCTCTCTCCTCACTATTTCTTCCAAAGGTCTTCTGCTCCTGCAGTTTTATACATGTATATGTATACACAGGCAAGCTCTAGGAATGCCTTGTACTGACAGCACTGCGGTGATGGGTAGTGCCTCTAGGTAATGGGCTAGAGGGAAATGCATGGGGAAAGGTGGGTTCCTACTGTCCTGGTGGCACCATCTGCCTGGCTCACAGGAGTTGGGGCATCTGTGCTGGTTGTGGCAGAGGTGTGAACAGACTCCAGGGGGTGGAGAAGCCAGGCATTAAGTCCACTTGCATACAAGGAGGAAGAGTTTTAGACCAGGCTTGGGTCATCTTCCCTCCACTTGAGTCAGTCCATGACATTTTCTCAGGAAGACAATGAAGTCTGGTATTTCACCTTTCTTTGCACGCACCTGTTTCTAGTTCCTCTGAGAGAGCAGCCTGGGAGAGAGCAAGGACCTGCAGTACTCACAGTACTTGAACAGTAGTTGGAACTGTGAAGCCTGCTGATAAGGGAAATGCAATGGGCAGTTTTAGCACCACTTAACAGGACTGCTCCAAAGGCTCTCAGTTTCCCAGGAAGCTGAGCCAAACTGAGGTAGTGGTGAGGGACCGATAGGGACAGGAGGCATCTCCCAGCATTGTAGTTAATGGCAAGCAGCAAGCTAAGCTGTGAGGGACCTGTCTGGAGCTGATGATGAGAGAAATGAACACCTACAGGCAGGGGTCATGGGAACAACATAAGAGCAAAGGATCTGAGATGCCTTACTTCAGTACAAGCTGCATCAGAGGTGGTGGCAGGTTTAAGGTTCAATTTGATTCAGCTGGGGAACAGATCTCACATAAGAATGGATGCTGTGGCTGGGCCATGTTGTCTTGTGACCCATCCTGGAGGACCATCAGAGAAGCTCAATGAGGCAGCAGTGCACTCCAGAAATAGCTCCCTGGTTTCTGCAACCCACAGCCCTTTGCAGCAAGTCCCAGGGCTTCCTGAGGCCACCTTTGGTGTGGCAGGCCATGGTAAACTCCTCAAGGCTGGTCCCCACTGTGGCCTGAGCTCAGGTTGTTGCCACGAGCCCCAGCTTGACATTGCTTAGGAACAGGGCACAAAAGTTTCATATTTATTAGCCTGCAACACCTCCAATCTAGAGACTGATCCATTTTGCACAGGAAAGCATAAGGCATTAAGCAGTTAAACCACTACCCTACAAATAATGCTATGTGTAAATGAAGAGCTATTTAGCCAACAGATGATGAAACTTGCAGCTGTTTACACTGAAGATTATTAAATAAACTCTTCCTCTTGCTCTCATATATTATACCCTCAATGAATTGGGATAATAAACAGCCTCAGAAATCCCACTGTCAAGCTTACTCGTGAAGTGTAACTTACGTAGTGGCACAAACATGGGCATGTGGACTGGAGGAAAGCAGCACAAAAAGACCAGGGATGACTATCAGCACAACCCCAGCTGTAAGGTGATTGAAGAATGGGCACTGCACCCTGGGCAAAGCTGACACCCTTTTCATCTTTGTAGATGCACGCAATGGAGATCTGCTTTAGTGCTGAGGATGACGTAGCCCCAAGCAATCCCTTGCACAGCTTCTGATAGCCAGTGAGACCACCGAGAGCTCACTCTTTCCCAGAAAGCCTTTAAGCTCAGCTACAGAGTGATGGTGTTGGAGGAAGGGGTGGTTGGCTGTTTAGAGGAAGGGTTGTTGGCAGACAACCGCTCTCAGGCCCTGTGCAACTGTTGGAGGACAGGCCAGACTGAATGGTACTACCCATGCTCTGCCGCTAAAATCACACATAACCATGCACTGGCAGAAAAGGCCTATCCCAGCAACACATCTCTGTGCCTTTGCTCTACTCTGGGCATTGGCACCTTGCTCAACTTCATTACAATGATTGTATTCACAGGGCTAGCAAGGAAGAGAGATCTTCATCCTACTTTTTAATACTCCCTTTTTATTTTCAATAACAATTCAAATATCACTCCACAAAATTTAGAACTTCAGTGAAAACCAAGCTCACAGTGAGAAATCACTGCAAGACCTCCAGAGAGTGCCAGAAAATGAGGAGTATTCTTTATGTGGTGACAGTGTTCCTCACATGTAACAGCTTGAATTTTCAGAAGGAAATAGCTATGTTCCCTAGAGAAGTTCAGAGGCTCGGGGTTGTGTGGTGTGGTGTTGGTTTTACACAGAAAAAATACATTTTGAGGGTAAAACAGCCTTGCAAAATGAACTGCAATTCATGAAGCATGAAATCTATACACAGTGAGTAATGTACAGATCAGTATTTTAGGAGAAAGCAGGATTATTGTGACAGACAAATCTTTCTGCAACTCTGACTAAAGGACAGGAACTCCACGTGGCTATTCTTAGTTCATTTGCAAATCACAACTGTACTTGAAACAAAAGATCATTAATTCACTGGACTTAAAACAATTCAGTATTTAAGGACTTGTAAGCCCTCTGAAAATTCTTTAATGAAAAGCCAACAAACAACACCAGACCTCTACTCATTGGATTTGAAGTCTACTGACAACATGTTTCCTTTTCTGGTTTACCCCTTTCCATGCTGTGCAGTGGTAATTATCCACAGATCTTTTCCAGAGGCCACTGTAAAACCACAGCACTGGAGCCAACTCAAACTGGCAATTCAGTCTCCTCAGAAAAGACTATCAAGCAACCAGAACCTGTCCCCTGCTTGTGCCAAGATGCATTATTTCCCCAGTGGCCACCTGACCTGTATTTCAGGACATGTTCACTTGGCAAGTACTGGTCAATCTACAACTTAAGTAAATGATCTCTTCTTGCTGACAAACAGAGCATCTAATCCTGGCACTGCAAAGACATTAAAGCTGTTTAAGATCCCTCTTCACAGATCAGTAATGAAACCTTAAAAGTAACCAAGTAGTCCTCCACAGTGATGAAAATGGATCACAGTCACTTTCAATACCTGTCTGTATCCCATAGTCACAGGTTCTTGTTCCAGCCTTTTCAAAACATCTAAGATATTTATTCTTGCTAATCTCTGTGTGCCTCCTTTGTTTGGCACCAATTTAACACAGTTTGGGCCATCATATTTATCTCACCTTCCAGGAGAGCCAGGGTGAACACTATGGCAAGGTCAACTCTAAGCTTGGACACCAATGACCAAATTTCTCAAGGAAATTAATGACCTCTCCATATCACCTGTACTGAGATCTGCTGGGATAAATAAGTGTTTTTAATATTTTAGCTCCTCTGTGTTAGCCACAAGGAAGTGAAAGGGAGAGTATTCCACAAGCAGAACTATAACACAAGCAATGTATACATTAAGTTTTATTTTTCCTTTCCATAATCTCAGAATAACTGAGATGTCTACATTGTCTGATAAAAGTTTTGTTGCCTTAAAATCGGGAGCAGAAAAAACTGCAGGCTAATTCAGTAGATAAGATAGAGAACAGCTCTTTAATGAAGGCCTTCTGGCACAAGGGGTACAGAAAAGGCACACCCTGTGTCCAGTGGTTCTATAATTTTATGGTATTATCCATCCAATCCCAGAACTATCCACCCCCCAGATCCTCCCCAAATCTGCCTCCCAGCATGCCTCTCCAGAATTGAGTCCAGGGTCACAAGACCCGTTTCTTCCTCATCTTCTTCATGGCACGTACTCTTTTTGGAGCTTCTCGAAGGTTCCAGGCTTGAGAGTTGCTTTGGCTATGATCATATCTAGTTGTTCAGACCTGGGGTGCAAATGTTCTTAAGCATAACAGGTGTTTACTACAGTGCTACCTTGAAAGGAGCCTAAACAAGCCTAAAGAATTTAGAAAATTCAATATGAAATGGGGGAATAGAGTTTAGTAAGTGTTAACTACTACTCTAAAGTGTGAGAGACTATACAATTATACTAAAAATCTATATTTACTACATAGCTACTTCTAAAATCTACAAAAAGCTAAAAATCCTAAAAATCCTCAGGCATCAGTCCCCCCTTTACCAGGGGTGGGCTGGTCAAAAAAAAAAACACCAGCTAGAGAAGAAGCTGGGAATCCCCAAGTATTGTTAGCTTAGCTTGTTCTCCACTTCTTGATATTGGTTAAGAAATCCCTCTTGTCAAGTTCTGGGACAAATCAATGGGTAAACATTAAATATGCCATCAGCTAGCAAAGCTTTGGAAATTGTATGAGCAGGCTTGTAGTAAGGAAAAACAAAGTTTCAAGGTACTATTAAATTTGATACAGTTCTGGTGTTCAGCAATTTTAAGGCTCTTTTTTTTGTGTAGTTTTGGGAAGTATCTTTCAAGTTCTTTATAAATTGGCATATTCTTACACTTATTAGTCCAATTATTAACAGAAGTTACCATTACCAAACATCCAGCAGAAAGACTGAAACATACTAATCATATGTTTTGACAGGTGAGTCAAAAGCATTTAGCAGAATCACATTCTCCTACACCAGTCTCCCAGGAATATCTGACCTTCAGACTTTTACAACAGCTTTTCCAAGATTTTCTCCCTTTAACATTCCAATGAAAGCCATTGGCATGTTCTCAAATCCTTCAGTGACTTGTTCATGGTACTTCACTTTTCCCTGTCAAAAGTAAGAAAGGAAATTGCTGAGTTTTCATCCACCAGAATTGAATGAATTGCAACAAAATTTTCTCCAGCATGTATGTTTCGTCTAAAACAAGCAAGCTGGCATGCACCAGGCTAACTCTGCAAAACTAGGCAGGCTGCTGTGAGGATCTGCTTTTGTTGTGAAACCTTCTGCTTGGAGTTATACAGGGAGCAAAAGTCACTGCCAGACATACCAGAATAGATTTAGTGCTACTTGGTCCCCTAATAATTGATAGGTAGGGGATCATTTCCCCAAAGCCAGGCCTGTCTCTACCCATACAGAAATATGGAATTGCAAATCCAAGTGATCAAAAGCTGATCCATCCCAAATCCTCATGTTTGTAAAAGCTAGAGCCTCTTAGCCTTTAGTGTTCACACTTACAAACTTCTCACAACCATGAACCAACTTAGTAACTAACTTAGCCTTTATTTACAAAAGTAAAACATAAGAAATTCCATATTAAGTCCCTTTAAAGTCCAGCTCCCAATTCCATAAAAACATTAATTCTTGCCAGTAATTTCAGCACAACACTACAATGGAAATCCTTTCTCATACTACAAATGACCAAATGAGAAATAGAGGAATTACCTTAACTATGAAAACCTTCATTACCAGATAACTGTTCTGAATTACTCTGGAAGCATCCTTTTTCAAAGCCTACAGGTATTCTGGAATATATCTAATTCCACAAGCTAATACTGCTGGTCTTAACAAAGCAGAAGGGATCAGGCATGTTTAGTATGGTTTGAGCGTTCCCAAAAGGCTCAAAGATCGTGTCAGGGAAAAGAAAAGTACCATGCTGGGACCTCACCCAAATAGCTATGACAAGAGACCCCTTGCAAAGAGGGAAGCTATGGTGTGAGTACACCTTACAGAAAACTACCCCTTCCTTCCTTACCTCCACAACCCACTTTAGCAGTGCCTTCACACCTTCCTCCCGGCGGTTCTTCCAGCGGCTCACAATAAACCCTTCCATTTGAAGCTCTTTGAAGATCATTGGAACCTGCAGGTAAGGCCCTGCAAGAGAAAGGAACCAGAAAGCCACCTGCAATATCAGTTTCATTTAAAATAAATCCCAAGCATAAAGTGGGCTTTTAGCAGTAAACACCACTGAATGACTTTGTTTCAGCCAGAAGGAACAAATATTTTTTTCTCCAAACAGAATTTCCAGGACAAAAGACCAAGGATTCATGGATAGACAGCCAAACAAGGAAACACAGGCCTGATCTGTAAAGCTGTGGGACTAAACACTAACATTTCTGAAAACAGCTTCATTCAGAAGTAAACTAGCCTCAGCTTCACCTGAGGGACTTCAGCTAAATTTCAAAAAACTGTTTTGATAGCTTATTTGATAGCCTGTCAGGCTGTCATCCTCTTTCTAACTCTCAAAATTTAAGTTATTAACTCTAAAACACAGTTCCCTCAATGACAAAAATGTGTGATAGTGTCCTCACTCTCAAAAGCCTGTTTCATTTTTTTGAAGTCGTCTGAGAGTCCAAAGCCAGTCTGCTGTCAAAGAGAATTCAGACCTCCCATTTCTTCTGGAAGCCAAATTTGAAAAACCTAAATGTTATTGGAAGTGAATATTCATCTCAGCCACATTTCTGAGCAGTTTCATTAGTAGCTGAAACCTTAGGGGAAAAAAAAAAAGAAACCCTAAGACGCATCATCTGAAAACCTGAGGGAAATATATTATCTCATCTAAAATTGTGTACTACTGTGTAAATGACATCATACACCACACCACCCTTCTACTGATCTATATTTGCTTAGAGGCCTGTGGAGTCCTGTTTAAAGTAGTTTAGTCACTCCATTTCTAATTAGCTGATGTTTTCCATCTAATGTGAGTGTGCACAAAGGAGGATGAGTGCACGTACACACGAGGAGTGTGGTCATGCTCCCACTGCCCCAGAGCACTGGTTAGTTACCTGAATGTACACACTTATGTAAATGGCACAGGGAAACAAATAATAAAATCTCAAAAGACTTCTATTATGTCTCTCTGCCATCACCAAACAGGAAATCATTTTAGACACAATAAAGCAGGCCCACACCTTTCTGAGGCACGGAGTCATTGTACAGAGAGATGGCTCCGCAGACTGCTATTCTTCCATATTTCTTCATCTGGTTGATAGCAATACTGGCAAATTCTCCGCCCACCTGCAAAAACAAGAGCATGTGCAGCTTTAGAGACAATCCAGTGTTTAGTATTGATTACCAGAATCTGCCAACCTTGCATCATTGCACCAAGGGATTCAATCAGGGAGTGGAGAGGTGAGTTGCACTACTCCAAAGATTTAGTGGTTGCAGAAACCCTTACACTTAGACAACACTATAATGACTCAATCTCACTCTTCTAAAAATTAGTTATGAACATAGGAAATCAGTTTTAATTCCAAATCTGCTTCACAGATCTTGGTTTGGAAGTGTTGGGCAGGATTTGCACATAGATCCCTCCTCCTAAGGGCAGGTCTAAGGGCACTAAGAAGCACCAGCTTTTCCCACACACCAGTCTGCACTGTTACATCTTCACATTGTGGTGATGTCAAGCTTTTACTTAATGATTCTCGTCTCAAAAACAGGGATGTGTTTTGAACAGAAACTTTTAATGGTGAGAAGCTGTGAGAAAATTTACTGCTGGGGGGAACTCTACACAGAAGTTGGAAGTGAGAGGGAAGGGAATGGATGTGACCATAAAACATATTTCAGACATCGGCAGCACTGGACATGAAATTCAGAAGGCTAAGGCAAAGTAGCTAGGAGTTCCTGAAACTCTGCTCCTTGAACTTTGCATTCCTGTCAATTGCCAGGGCAAGGCAGGTATGTTGCAATCCACACAGAAACAGACTGCTGAGAGAAAGACATGCTAAAGAGGTGATGATGGGTTTTCTTAAACCAGGTAGCTAGCCAGGGAGTTTTAGGCCGCTATACCCTTGTGTCCAGGTATTATATTATCAGGTATAATTCATATGTTAGCTGTAGTAGGAAATTAAAAGAGCCAGGGCTGGTTGTCTGGCTTGAAGGTGAACTGACATGGTTTAACTGCATCCATACTGTTAAATTCTGTTCAAAACAAGATGGTCACATTTAAAAAGCCTATCAAGAGCAGTACACAGTCCCTGTTAATTCTAGCTATACTTAGGAGAGGTCAGAAACCCTCTATGGGCCACTCCAGTAGTTTTACAAGTGGGTTTTGCCATTCTCTACAGGCACCAGTGCAGCCCCCGTGACCACATAATGTGGAGCAATCTACACTCACTCCCCTTCTGCAATAGCAGAGAACTGGCTGTGGTCCAGGGTGGGCCAGGAATGGACTGGAGTTGTCTCTGTTCAGCATCAGTTAAATGTTATTGTGACCCTTACCTCCCCAAAATTGGCCAAACTTTTCAGAGAGTGAAGTAAAACTTCTTTCTCTCCATTCACAAACACTGCCAACAACCCAGCTTTGCTTTTCAATCTTTTCCTTTCTGTTGCTGCCCAACTCAGCTGCAGAAATATGTGTGGAAAGGGAACAGGAAAGCAGATAGTTCTTTTTCTCGATTAAGCAGATCTTAGTATTGAGTTCCTGGTATAGTCTGCAATTAGATGCATACAATATTGAGATCCTGCTATAATTTAAGGAAAATGAGAACTGCTCAGGGCAAGGCCTTCTCTCTGAACTCACATTATCAAAGAAACAGTCGTAGCCATCAGGAGAGGCTTTACGCAGTGCTTCATCCAAAGATTTAACAGTCTTGTAATTAAAAGCTTCATCAAAGCCAATTTTTTTCAGATAGGCAACCTTGTCATCTGAGCCAGCACAGCCAACCACTTTGCAACCCTGCAAGGAAAGGAAAAGAACATTTCTAAATATCCCCTGACAACACAGGCTGACACTCAAAGAGTGCTGGGTGCAGAGCTCACCCTTACAGTGCAGCCGTTGTCACCACCTAGAGTTTCTGAGCTCTAGGAAACATTGAACTAGCTTTGCTATGTCTTCAGGAGCTTGTTCCATCACAAGACCCCAGTGCAGGCATGCCTTCAGGGATGCTTCCCCTACTGATCATTCATAGCCTTGTTGCCCTGTCTCCCAGCTGAGGCTTCTGAGGAGCAAGTATGAGCGGTTCAAGCCACTCACCCCAATTTTAGCAAGCTGCCCCACCACAGAGCCCACAGCACCGGCTGCAGCATTAACCAGCACCGTCTCTCCTGGCTTCATCTTGCAGACCTCCAGCAGACCAAAATACGCAGTGAGGCTGTGAAAAAGAGGGAAGAATGTCTCAGTGAGGAGTAAAAGATGACAGACTCAGAGATAGGACTTGACCACATTGAACCACAATATCATCACAACCAGAACAAGATTTAGTTTTCCTCATTCTCCATGAAATATAAAAATTAACCCAACCTCCTTACTTTGGTGGCTTTTTCACAGCCATCCCAGAAAAAAACCACAGATAAGTTGCTGGGTTAACAGAATGTTGCAGCAGAAATCTTTGTGATCATTAGCCAGATCATTAGCTTTCTTTGTGATCAGTAGCCATAAGGAGAAACACAGATAACTCTGTAAGATGACAATTCAGTTATACACTGGAAGAGACAGAGAAAGGTCAGTAGCCAGCTGGTATCTACCAGATTGAGGCAAAGATTAAATGATACTCATCACAAATCAAAGCTGGTAGAAAAAAAGGGTGGCAAAAACTTGCTGAACTGATGGGCTCCCTGCTCCTGAGGACTACTGTGCATAGCTATGGCTATTGGGTGAAAAATGGAATCATTAAGGTTGGGAAAGACCTCCAAGATCATCGAGTCCAACTTTTGACTAATTAGTCAATTAACCTTAGCACTAAGCGACATGTCCAGTTTTTTCTTGAGCACTTCCAGGGATGGTGACTCCACCACTCCCCTGGGCAGCCTGTTCCAATGCTTGACAACCCCCTCCACAAAGAAATTCTTCCTCAGGTCCGGGCAGAACCTCCCCTGGCACAGCTTGAGGCTATGTCCTCTTGTCCCGTCACTAGATACCTGCCCCCCATCTTGCTACACTGTTCTTTTGGGACTTGTGGAGAGCAATGAGGTCTCCCCTGAGCCTCCTTTTCTCCGGGCTAAACAACCCCACCTCCCACAGCTCCTTCTCATATGAATTACTCTCTAGACCCTTCACCAGCTTCATTGCCCTTCTCTGGACAGGCTCTAGCACTTCAATGTCTTTCTTGGAGTGAGAGGCTCAACTGGGCACAGTACTTGAGATGCAGCCTAATCAGTGCCATAGTAATCTGTAGGAAACACTTACATTTAGCCCATCAACTGGGCCAGAATCTCAGAAAACTCTTCTGCTAATTTCTAAATTCAAGCTGAGAGCTTCACACTTGGTCTGGACTGAAAGTGGGAACTGAAGCAACTAGAAACCGTCAGGAAAAATGTCTTGACTGATGTTAAAATGAAATCTGAGAAGTTCTCCATCACACAGTTTTACAATCCTTTTGAAAGCCTTCCATGTGAATAGGACTGACCAAGTCCTGATCTCCCATAAAAACTACAGAGAATGAGTCAAGAAATGCAAGAGGATGACTGAGACTGCAGTAGCGAATATAGATTCCAAGGCACAGCATTTTTCTGCTCCAGTGCAAGTTAAAGGACCTCTATTTTGCTGTATGATGACAGCGATCTTTTGCAATTTTGGGGGTAGTTCTGGAAATATGGTGATGGTGGAAGAGCCCATTCAGGAAAAGCAGACTAGTCCAGGTGCCAGTGAAGTCTGAGACTTTCCACTAAGGTTAACACAGACTGAAATGGATTCTTTACAGCCCTTCTTGGATCCTCTTTCTTCTTTATTATAGCTCCTCAGAGGCACCATAATCTCTAAGGCAAATCTCCTCTAATCTAGAGGATGGGACAAACTTCAGGTCCTCTACAGGGTAAGGGCATCCAGAAGCACGTTTCTTACCAGAGTGAACAGGCAACATGCTTGTAGAACAAGACAAGGGTCATACAGATAGGCAGAAACATCCTGCACAGTAAAATCCAGATGATAGTTGCTTTTTCATCTCAAAACTCACCCTGGCATGCCAACTGTTCCAAGGGCTAGAGATCTAGGGAGTGATTCTGGCCAACTGGAAGGAAGGAGATGTAGGTCTTTCCCATCAGAGATGAAATGAGTTCTCCAGCCACTGTCAGCCACAACGAAGGCCCCCACTGTGAAAGCAGGATTCTTGCTTTCTACAATCCTTTTTAAAAGAGAGAGGAAAAAAAAAAAGAATACCCTGTCAGAGACAAATCAATACAGGACATTTAGCCCATACCTGCTGATCCTGTAGCTGTCAAGCACCTTTCCTGAAATGTCTGCAATCTCTTATTACCAGGGAGATACTGGCCAAGATGATTCTAGACTCAGCTCTGCCCACAACAATTCCAATTTTCCCACAAGTGCCAACTCTTTTTTTGACTATCACCTGGTATGAGTTCAGACTAGGCTTCTGTGAGTTAGAATGCAGGAAGGAGGATGCCGGCATTAAAGCACAGAAAAGCAAGGAGCTGCAGATAGGCTGTAACAAGCAGTTTCCTTCTCAGACAACCTGCAACCTATCTAAAAGTTGAAGATCCTAAAGACGGAACCTCTTGGAGTAATGAAACCAGATAGAAAGTAGTATCTAAAAGCAGGGAGAAGTTCATATTAGCAGTGTCTCTATACCAAAAGAAACTTCAGTTTCCTTATCTCAACAGGAAAATTATGTTGGAAAAGGGTAGGTAAGCAGCTTTGAATTATTAGAAACAGTTGGCCTTCTGTTCAGCAGACTTAGTTGTTAATTTACCCCAGACCTCTGTGTTCCTGCAGAAAAACACAAGAGTCAAAGGCCACAGATGTTCCTAAGCAGCAACTGATAGGCAGCACAGTAGGAACTAGCTGACAAAGGGAAACATCTGTGTAACTATATTACCACAAGCTTGGGAAAAGGATGAACTTACGGTTATACAGCCCTTTGTCTGGAGCTGCATATTCAGTGACTATGAGATATTTTCAGCTGGAGTAGATAGCAGGCATGGTTGTGGGCATGCAATTACTAGTACAGAAGGTTTTAAAATGTGAAGTTGACACTTATGGCAAATACAATAGTTGATCCTTCATACCTGTAAAATTTGCCTTTGAGAACATTATTGCCAGAAAAAATGTATAGGTTTTATCAGAGGACTAAATGCTCTCCAAAAAGGCAAAAGTGGTTCTTAGGGGAAAAACACATTCCAACCAATTACATATAAGAATACAGTTGCAGAAGTATGCAGATTCAAGTCTAGAATAGGTAACACAGACTGCAGATGTCTCGAACGTCAGCACATTCCTGTTGAGATCTGCCATGTGAATGGATAACAAGAACTGAAGATCTTACCTGGCAACCTGTGTTCCTATCATTATGTCCCCTTCCTTCATGTCCCTTCGACTGTAAGCTCTGTAACAGAGGCAGACATGGCTTACTGTGAGCAAATGTAATAATGTTCCAGATACGCTATGACAGTAGTAGCTACTGTCTGACCCAAAAAGAGAATACCAGCAGTGCTGTTGAACAGATCACAAAGAGCTTGTTGCTGTAGTGGTATAACTGGATGTTTTCCAGGGCCAGCTACTTGAGCATCCCCAGCACAAGAGTGTTGGGGGACATCATATCATTAATCTTCCCAGCATGGTCCACCACCACAAGAAGCCCAAGACTCAGAGAACTGACACCTGCATCCACCAGCATCCTCTTTAAACTACCTAGTTTCCCTGAGCTTTAACTGCCTCCTATTAACATCAGTCTATCAGCAATGTCCAACTTAGAATATGTACTCTTAAGTAAAAGGTTGCTAAGATAAATGATAAAATGCTACAGGGCTGCAGTCTCATTTGAGCCTGTTGCATTCCAGTGGAACACACAACAAGGAAAAACGGCAGATTGAGAGAAAAATTATGCCAGTGTCCAGCTAACTTTGGCACAGCTCCATATTTTGAGTCTTGTAATTTACACACTTTTTACAAAAAGCAGAAAAAGGCATTGGGACTCTGACAACAAGGGGTGCTCTCAGCACGTGTTCTTTTGAGGTGGATGGCAGATGGAATTAGGCATCCTAGCCAGAAAGTCATAAAGAAGAAAAATATATACCTCATGTAAGGATCAACACTGAGAAACACTGATTCAAGCAGCAACTCTGCAATGAAAGACAAAACAAATTCCTGGACATTAGCAGTGCAGTAAAGCATAGTTTCCATAAGTCAGTCTTTCAGCTAAATTGATAGGAATTCTTGATGCTCAAAACCCCCACCCTTTAGGGAAAATCTACCAGAAATGACTACTACATTCATTAGTTTTGATAATGGATGTGCTGTTACAAAAAACATTTTCTGTAGTGTATCTAAGAGACCGTCTTATTTTCATGCTTTTTTGCATCTGCCTCCTCTCTCTATAGAAGGGTCAAGTGGCCAGAACTCTAATTTATTTTTGACCCATATGTAAAAGGGCATCTCACGATTCAGCCACCGGAGGGTGGTTAGAAATCCTGGCACAGGTCAAATACAAACACTACTTGGCTGTCTTAAAGAGAAAGCATTAGTTTATCTTTTTTAAGTAGCTTAATCCACCTTACTGTCTCTAATGGCACTAGCTCCTGGAAAGTATATACCATTAAATATATTTTAATTTAAATTCTCATTCACACAGCAGTTCTAGCTGTTCATCTCCACCTACTAATACTTTTCATTGCCTGTGTTGCAGTGGTCTTTCTAGTACAAGCCAGAAATATATTCAGATAGAAATATCTTCCCATTACTCAAGAGAGAGCAGGAAGGCCATGTAACGTAAGAGGGAAGGCCACCTTCTTTAAAAGTGTTGCTGCAGTATGAAGTTACGCCTCTTTTTGCTGTAGGAATTAAACTGGGAAGAAAAAAATTACTCCAGGTTCTTAAATACTCACAGACGTGAAATTTTTAAGTGTGTCTGTGTATGTAAGAAGAAATAGGTTTTCAAACATTTAAGTTGCAAACATAACTGGTACTTTAATGCAATTTCTTTCGCGAACCTTCGAAAGTGGAGTAAATTTTGTAAAGGAGGAGTGGTGGGATGAGGCTCAAAACAGCATGGTTGATGCAGATGTCCATGTGAAATGACAAATCAAAGCTCATTGTTTTATCAACAGCTCTTGTATATAATAAGTTAATATATTCCTTACCCTTTTCAAAACAGACAACCACAGGAATAAAAACTGTCCATTTTTTACTGTTTATATTCACCCTTTCTTGTTTTACAACAGATAAAATCTAACAGGACTAAGGACTGGCAAAAAAAATCTAAGGACTGGCAAAAAAAAAAATGTTGAATGGAGGCAGAAGTCTCACAGCGTTCCTTCTTAAAATAAAAAACTAATTGTTACCCACTCCAGCCTTGAGGTCTCCCTGCTGCAGGCTCATTGCCAGTGCACAGTCTCTCTGCTCTCCCCCAGCACTATTATCAGTGTTTTCCCTATCAGCATGAAAAACTCCACTGAACACATATTCCTAGATGTCTTCTGCACCTTTTTCCAAAATATTTTGCAAAATAATGTAGATAAAAGCCTTTCACTAGTAAAGCATGTTTGGATTTTATAACAGTTATCCTCTGTGTCACAATCATCTTCTCTATTTCTAAATTAAGCAAATTCTGTTTTCCTTGTGGCTGTGGGTTTCAAGGCTGTATCACTTCGGCAATTTTCTCCATTAAGCTTTATTTGCAAACGCTGCAAATGCGTTGGAGTGCCTTTGTCATCAGGCACCAAGTGGAATTAGGCAGCTTAAAACTGTGAAAGGCATGGCCCAGCTGCTGAGTCCTGGAGTTAGAAGTGCTCAGCCACTGTTTCTAAGGGTATTATCAGAAGGCAACATGACTTAAAAACCACTAAACCCATCAGCATACTTGTTCTCAGCAATTGTCCTTCTCTCTTAAGGTGCATGGCTTGCCCAAGCCATGTCACAGCATTTTTCAAAATACCAGCCAGAGAAACATGCAAACAGTTCTAAGATGCACATTCATACATCAGCAATCAGATACCTCCAGAAAAATTAATAACAGGTAGCACTCCACTCACCTCCATCCTTCAGATTTGGCAGCTTTATCTCTTTCAGGTCAAAGTCGCTGGTTTTGGGGAAACCTTCAAAATGCTTCTTCAGAACCCATGCCTTGGCAGTCACCATCCTGCACAACAAACAACACAAAGAGGACCTCTCAAAGGGATGCCCAACAGTACTGGGCTGCTCATGGGGGCTGGTTTATACTTCATGAGGCAGAACAGTTATCTCGATAATGTGCCAAAACACAAGAAAGCCTTTGCTTGCTCTTGTGGCAATATCACCAGATCAAGAAAACATCTGAAAAGGCCCACATTGCCTTAGCAACTCAGAGCTTCCTGTGACTTGTTGGACCTTCCTGCCTGCTGACAGCAAGCCCTGGAGTGGGAAGGCAGCCCTGGCATGTTGTATGATTCCCACCTTAAAGACATTGAAGGGAGACAATCTACTAGTTTAACAAGAAAAAAAATACCGTAAGGAAAAATCCCTGATTATTTGGGATGAGTAATGAACCTAAACTTTTACAAGCTTGAACCAAAGTACAATTGAGAAAAACAAAGGTAAGCACGACTTCTTTCTGTGACACTCATTATATTGAAAGAAAATACTTCTCCGGTTGCCAAGCTCAGGGCTTGGAACTGGGAGCACATTGTCACCAGTGTTTTCCACACAAGACGGAAACAAAAAAACAACCTGCATTAATTCTAACCTCACAGCCCCTTTGCCCTTCTTATATACAAGTGCACCAACAAGAAAGAGAAGTTATACTTAGAGCAGGCAGGTGGAAAACTGTCTTCTGCTGTCACAATAACCTTCTGCACCCGACTCAGCCAAGGGCTGGACTCCGTCAGTCACACACACTTTCAAAGGTGAAAATGCAGGCTTTTATAGACAGGGCTGGTACCGCCCTCAATACACTTCCCCAGGATGAAGTGAAAAACCTCAGTAAACATAGCATAGCACACACCCATTGTGAGTCACCTTTCTCCTATTAAGATTTGATATCATTCCTCCAAAACCCCCAATTCAGTGCCCAGCCAGTTGCACAGGCACAGGCACGTTATGCAACACGCGAAGCTAAATGCACAAACCCCATGGTTCTAGAAGCCACAAAAACCTGCAGTCTGGAGACCTATCCCACAGCACAGGAATTTCTTCAAATCACTTTTTACCAGTCCAGCACTAGAACTTGCAAGAGTTCTCCCTCTGGGGAAAAATATCTAATTAAAAAATGTCAAATTCCTTGTTCACTTCATTATTTAGCATAGCAAATGATCCATACATTTGTCACTCGTGGCGTGTGCTCTGACATCCTCATGTTCCCGGTGTACGCCCCGAAGGATCAGAGCATTTGTGGCTAAGCCTCACCGTTGCAGAGCCATCTTAAGAAACGCTAGCAAGCTTTGTCATTTTGCCTCAACCATGTTGCAATGAGGCATGTAGCATGGGAGAAAACTTTGAACAGTGCTTAGCTGTAACAAAAGATATCGTGACACTGTAGCAAGAACAAAGCAAAGTCAGCAAACGGGCTTACAGGAGCGAAAGGTGAGTTCAGAGTAACAAAACTGATCCCCCTCACTCGTTTACACCCACAGGCACCGAGAGAGGTTTGTCCCAGCAGTGTGCTCCATCCAGGAATGACCAGGGACAAAGGGATGCTGGTTAGGCTGGCAATTATTTGCTGATGTGCCATTTGTACCCCCGGGGAGTGTCTCCCACCGTGTCCCACATTTGTGAGTCATCAATATTGACTCCCTGCTCTTTGTCTCTTTTGTCTGTGTGCCTCAAGGCTGCAGCCCTGGTCTTTACGTTCCCACCAGCACCTCTTAATAGCTCGAGTCTTCGTGTCTAAGTACAGGAACCTGATACCTGTTTGAGGCTGTCCCTTGTTTTCCCTATGTGGCCCCCTCCAACACTAATCATGTAATTATGATGATCTGCAATCCTAGGTGCCATCAGTACAGGCCATTTCTGTCTTCCTTCAACTGTTTCTTTTGGTGCCTCCACTCTCAGACCTCCCTTTCACACCAATCTTCACATTCCTATCAAAAATTTCTAGTTTTTCAGCAGAGCAATGATCCTGCCTACAAACAATACTGAAAGATTAATTTCACAGAACCATTTTTATTACATTTAGGCCTAATTTTGGAAACAGGAGAAATTTTCTGCTGCCCACTTCTCTCTTCCAACTGAAATCACATCATTATAGCCACTTCAAGACTAGGAGTGTTTTCTGTAGGTTGTAAAACAAAAAGCCAAAACAAAACCAAAAAAACAGAAAACAGAACACAGATACATGCTTAATGAATGAATTCACAAACCAATTTCCAAGTTAACAAACCAAGGTTATTTTGTATGTTTAGATATAAAATAATAAGAAGTGGTAAGGACTACTTTTCTTAAGCATACCAAAGGATGCTTAAGCATACTCCAAAGGATAAATAGCAGTGATGCAACATTTTTGGGGTTCTATTTTAAGTTTTACTGAACTAAGTATGTGATAGCCACCATTTCAGCTCCTAAAGCAGTAACCTGCCCTTGTAAACCATAAAACTACTTTGTTTTCAGTGTTAGTGGGTTTGGATAATACATTTCTTTTGTGTGTTTTCTGTATAAACTGTTTCACAGACCATTATTACAGCAAAGAGGCTGCTAGGATAAAAACTTCAGAAAGAACAGCCCATGACAGTGATAAAAAGACTATTTAAAAACAAGGTGATGCATTTCTGCTTGATTTTCTTACAAAAGAACCACTAAAGGTTTTACTGAAATTGAAGTCCAAGATAGCATTTATTCTAATGTCCTTCAAACCCTCCTTGTCCCCTCATCTAGACCATCAAGTTATAAAATAATAAAGAACACCTAGAAAAGAAGTAATGGAATGGGAAATCTTGTCTCTTTGCACTAATCAAATACATAAGAAAGCAAAGATCCTATCTGTGTTCAGACACAGTTTGCAGTTGCTGCAAACTGTAGCTGAGCTGAAAGCAAAGCACTTCATGCAGGTTGTCACAGCTCAGCATGAGTAAGAAAGTTCACAGTTCAGGGGAAAAGGGGAGAGAAGAAGGAAGAGGTGAAAACTGGAATCCCATATTACATACTAGCAACTGGAAAAGAAGATCAGGAATAAAATAGACAGGCAAGTCTGAAAAAATCGAGATAGTTTGACTGGAGGCTGAGGAGCTGGTGGTGATACCTGAAATCTGGGAATATTCACATTCAAGTGGAAAAGCAGTAAAGCTCTCGAGGCAGCATGAGTCAAACCAGAAAATCTTACCTTTTTGAGGTAATCCCAGCTATTATTCCTAGCCTGGACTTGCCCAGATCTAACCTTGAGAACAAAATCGTTTTAGCAGCCTGTCAGTTACAAATAAGTTCAATTCAAATCTGGGGTTAGCTTAACAGTTCATTTTCCTGGCAGTCACAATTTGCAGACATGACTGTAGTACTTTTCCCTTTATCTCTATTCTAAAGCAGGAACACCTATGCTCACATCTACATTGGAAGTAAAGGGTATGATTAAAAGCTGAGTAAAGTGTATCCCTCAGACACAGTTGGTTTGTAGATCATTGCTGGGGAAAAACCCACCATCACTATGACAGCAGTTTTTCAGGTAATCATCATCTCATCTAGTCTCTTCCCCAGATTCAATTTATGTTTTCTGCAGCATTTCAAAGCAATCTGCCAGGCACCAGCACAAAGGACTTGCCAAATACGTCAGAAAACAAACAACCACCTTCCCTCCCACCCCAACCAACCAAATATAAAAGGACTTCTTGGTAGTAGAGACTGCCAAGGGAATAATAATACAGAGGCTACCTCAGGATCCCATGCACATACAGGATTACCAATTACCTGGGAGTGATCATGGCTTCAAATCATATGTACCTACAAGTTTTAGCAAAAATTACCTGTTCCTCTCCTCTGGCTTAGCTATTACAATGCTTTCTCAAAAATTTTTTTCCTGTTGTAAAAACGAAGTAAACCACTCCTGTGTTACTTTTGGCAGAGACTGTACTTCTAAGCAAGCATGACACTATATTATGAAACGATAAAGCTGCAACTTCACTTCCTTATGCAATACTATTAAGTCCTGGAAGAAGGTCAAAGATTGTAGGTGAGTAGTCATTGCTCTGCTACAAGACTTTTCCACCCTGCACTTTGTTACAAGGCTGTAATTCCAACAGGGGTTCAAAAGAGCAAGTTCATATGGGGCGGTGAAAAGGGAAGCAATACCTTCACTGAAACAGGTCTGCTGCCCTTCAGCTCTCAGAAATTGCACATATAGTAAGACTCTTTAGAACTATAAGAAAAAAGAAGCAAGAAGTCCACAGATAGGATAGGATTGAGTGCACTACCAGCAAGTTCGCAGATGATACCAAGCTGGATGGGAGTTGATTTGCTGGAGAGCAGAAAAGCTCTGCAGAGAGGTCTCGACAGGCTGGATCGATGGGCCCAGCTAATTGTATGAGGTTCAACAAGGCCAAGTGTTGGGTACTGCCAGGGGGGTCACAACAACCCCAGGCAGCACTACAGGCTGGGTGGGGAAAGAGTGTCTGGAAAGCTGCCCAGCAGAAAAGGACCTGGGAGTGCTGGTCGACAGCAGTTGAACATGAGCCAGCAGTGTGCCCAGGTGGCCAAGAAGGCCAATGGCATCCTGGCCTGGATCAGAAATACAAGCAATACAGTATGGCCAGCAGGACTTTGGGAAATGATCATTCACCTGCACTGGTGAGGCTGCACCTCAAATCCTGTGTCCAGTTCTGGGCCCCTCACAGCAAGAAAGACACTGAGGTGCTGGAGCAAGTCCAGGGAAGGACAATGGAGCTGGTGAAGAGTCTGGAGAGTAAGTCACATGAGAAGCAGCTGAGGGAGCTGGGGTTGTTCAGCGTGAAGAAAAGGAGGCTCAAGGGAGACGTTATTGCTCTCTACAACTACCTGAAAGGAGACTGTAGCCAGGTGGGGGTTGGTCTCTTCTCCCAGGTAAAAAGTGACAGGACAGGACTAGAGGAAATGGCCTCAAGCTGTGGCAGGGGAGGTTTAGATCAGATACTATGAAAGTTTTTTTCACAGAAAGGGTTGTAAAGCATTGAAATAGGCTGCTCAGGGAAGTGGTGGAATCACCACCCCTGAAAGTGTTCAAAAAACATGTGGATATGGCAGTTGAGGACATGGTTTACTTGTGAACATAGTGGTTGTGCTGGGTTGATAATTAGACTCGATCCTAAAGCTCTTTTTCAATTTTAGCAATTCTGTGATTCTGTGGGACACTTCAGGTGATGTGGGCTGACAAATCAAGCTGAAGCTTCTTGAAGGGCCAGCTGTGCTTCCCTGGTCACTGCACAGCACTCATAAGATTCTTTCAAGCACTCTTCTTACTTCTCCCTTGCTTAAATGTTGATACAGGCCAAACACATGTTGCAACATCAGTAAATGTAAAATTTCATCAAAGCAGTAGAGACATACTGCAGCACAGTTTCGCTTCTGGATTTGCAGCAACACCCCTTTGCAGCATAAGCATCTCTAGCAGTGTAGTGTAATAAGTGCAGTCAGAAGGGAAATGACAAACATGCTTTCAAGCATCAGCGATCCTCTGAGAGTCCCTCCTGAATTTCTGTAATATTGCAAGGGCAGATTGATCCTTGAACAAGTTTCTGCTTGTAACATGCACAACCAACTTCTCCCTCAAGAGAGAAACTTGCTGCTCCAGCCCACTTAGCATACACAAGACATACTTGTTATCTGTTACCACTCCAAGAAATCTGCAATATTAAGGGGACTAAGATTGATAAACGAAAAATTAAAAGGACATGAAGAAAAAAAAAGGAGGGATGTCAAGGAGAGTCAAAGGAGCTGGGGTGGAAAAGTGCAAGCACAGAGAAGTGATCAGCACAGCATGTGGAAAATGGGGCCTGAGGACCTCCCTGCTGCTGCAGCACACATAAGCGGAGCATGATACTTTCCTCTTGTATTCCACCCTGACCATGGCAGGAGGGTTGGAACTAGATAATCTTTCAGGTCCCTTCCAACCCAAATAATTTTATGATTCTCTGATAATGTGCATTGTACCAAGGGTACAGCAGATACTTCCTAGCTCTGAAGTCACAAGTAGGTATTCTACAAAGGTAAAAATATAATATAGCTTCACCAGTTTGTGATATGAGTATTTTAAGAATTGGGAAAGTGTTTTATTTTTGTAAGTACATGATACAGTGTAGTCCAAGCAGCCACCTCTAACAGAAAAGAACCAGGACCTCTCCTTCAGGTAAGAAACATGCAAACACATTTGCCACAGACAGCAGATTTTTTGTCAATTAAAAATGATTCAAAAATCATTTGGGATCATTTTCAACCCGCCAAATAAAATGTGACATTTGATGCAGCTGTATAGTTACACAGCATCAATCTGATTCATCTCCATACTTCACAATAATTTTTCTCAGTATGGTGTTCAGATGTTAGCAAAGTAAGAGCTGATAAGAGATCATCAAGTTCTTCTGGCTGCAGTACCTCCAGCAGCAGTGCTGTCTCAGTAATGCCTTAACAGCAGCATCCAAGGTAATTCCTGAAGTGAGCAAATACACAAATTTCTCTGTAATGCAGCCCTTCAGCCTGAATTATTTAAAATTATTAAAATAGCATCAAACTCGGTAGTTCAGGACAGTAAGTTTTACAGCAGATCTCAGTGGTCAATGGTCACTATCCAGCTGATAGTGCAACACCGGAGCTCTCCTGCAAAATCCTGGTCTATTTATACAGCACAGCTACAGGAAGCTCAGGAAAGAGCAAATGTATCCAGCCGACTTTGCTTTCCCGCTGTGATCAATGCGGCAATAAATAGTTAGACAACTCCTGTTCTTCCAGTGACACACACTCACAAATTTTGAACAAGTTCTCCTTCCTCTGTTTGAATGGAAGCGCCTGTTTATATCACAGCAGTAGAGTTAAACAGGCATAGATGGCTTTTTCTTTTTTTGGTGGGAAGGGGGAGAATGGGGTGGGGAAGCGGTGTAGTAGGAACGTATGTAATAAGTATAGAACCGCACTTCCTTATTTTAATATGATGTCAGGGCGGTACAAAGACACTTCCCGCCGCAGCCTGGAGCTGCAGCACTCCAGCCCCTCAGCCCCGCCACAGAACCCCACACGAACGCCCAAGTGCCCTCTCGCCTTGCCCCGTCACCCGCGGGGCCCGCAGGGGCGCACCGCCCTCCCTCACCGACCACAGCCGCCATTTCCCAGCTCCCGTCCCCGCGAGAGCCCGAGGGCCCCCTTCTCGGCCGTGCCCGCCTGCGCTTGGGGTGCGCGCCCGCCCCTCAGGCCACAGTAAAGGAACGCTCGCCCCTCACCCAGCAGGAGCCGAGGTCACACCCAGTGCCTGCCGCCGGAAGGCGGGGCGCGGCAGGCCGTGAGGAGGCGGCCGCCATCAGCACCGCCTCTAACGGCCCGGGCGTTCGGCGCCAAAATTTGACCGTGCTGTGGGGCGGGATCGGCTGCGGCGGGTGGTGAGCGAGGCACCGGGATCGGTGAGCGGCCCCGGGATCGCGGAGCGGCCCCAGCGGTGGGCGAGTGAGGCACTGGGATCGGGGAGGGGAGCGGAGCTGCCCGCGGCACGGAGGGCTCGCTGGATCGGGGTCCCGGGTAGGCTGCGGGGCAGCGCGATGCCGGCAGCAGGGACCGGGATGGGGCTGTGGTGGGTCCGTGCTCTCGGTGCCTCAGAGCCGGGGCTGCCGCTTCCCTGGGATTCATCCCTCGGGGGCCGTGGGGCTAAGCAGGTATAGCAGTCCTGCAGGCGGGAAATGGGGGCTCCGCTTCTACTGTGTTCTGAAACACTCGGGCCTTTTTTTCCCCTTCTCTGGCTGGCGGCCAGCTTGGTGAAAACCCGGGGTTTTGCCACCAGTCTTCATACAAGTGTCGTGGTGAGCTTTGTGTGAAGTCACGTCTCTTAGAAATGCTTAAGTACAGCTTATTATTGGGATGCTGCCTGGATCTGGGATCCACTTTTCATTTCTCATCTTATAAATTCATGGTATTTTCGTTGTGAAAGTCATGTGTTCTTACCTTTTTCTCACACGTGTAACTGTTTGTTTGGCATGCATTATGATTAATTTGCTTATTCTTTTTTCTTTTATTCTTTGAAATATATAAGATCATAATCCAGATACCTTTCTTTGTGCTACTCGGAGGAATACTTTACCTGGTCCCTTAGGACCATAAAGAAGATGTACATCAAGTCAATTGTTCTGGAAGGATTTAAATCCTATGCTCAAAGGACGGAAGTTCGTGACTTTGACCCATTATTCAATGCCATTACTGGCTTCAATGGTAGTGGCAAGTCCAATATCTTGGACTCTATCTGTTTCGTGTTGGGAATCAACAATCTGTCACAGGTAAAGGGATGGGGCATTTAAGAAATGTCTTTCTTCTGTTAGCAACGTTTTGTATTACTATAACGAGTAATCTCCAATGGAAAACCTGAAGTGGTGCTTCTTGAAAAAATACTTTTATTTACTTGGATTTTTCATTACATAAAATTGGGTGTCTGACATTCTTTCTCATTCTTACTCTAAGGTAAGAATTTCATCAGTATACTACAGTCGTGAACAGTATGTGGCTTAGAACAATAGACTAAAAATAACCATTTAAAAGGTAGCAATCTCAAGCCGAAGGTCTCTTGCAGCTAAAGGCACTGACTTGTTTATTTATAAGTGCATTTGTAACTGAAAAATACATTTTTTCAGTTCTGGATTGGGTCTCAACATTTGGCCATCTGGTTCATAAGAAAAAATTTAAAAGCTGGTTTTCATGCAATGCCTGCTATTTAAGAGACATATATCTGCTTTATTCTCATTAAAAAATTGACATTTCTGACATCAATTTGAATCTGTCTTAGGATGATTTTTTGATTTCCCTTCTTTTCCACCCTCTGCCTCCCCCCAGATGTAGACAAATCCAGATGTTGACACATCCAGAACACTTTCTGAAGCATTTCCCTGTGAACTGCATTATGAATAATGAGTGCTGGTTAAATAAATGTACTGGTGACTGGCTTTTTTTTAATACCTGTTCAGTGTTTGTCAGGAACCTCATGCAGAAACAACTAGCTAACTAAAACTAGACTCCCACACTCTGCTTGTGGTTTTAGAATAATAGCACCTTGCAGCTCCCATGTATCAGTTCACATGAACTCTTAAAATATGCAGCTAGATCTTCATTTTTTCATTCATTTCTCCAAAACCTACAGTAGTACACGGAAGCTGTGAAATTAATTCTTTCAAAAAAGTGTTTATTTGTTCCATGGATTTAGGTGCGAGCTTCCAACTTGCAAGATCTAGTTTATAAAAGTGGGCAAGCTGGAATTACAAAGGCAGTTGTGTCTATTAGCTTTGATAATTCGGACAAGAGTCAGAGTCCACTGGGATTTGAAGGTAATGATGAGATCGTCGTGACTAGGCAGGTGAGTCTTTAATATCTGTATTGTTTAGTAACCTAAATACATTTTTGCCATGCTCAACAGAGTGACTGGTCAAGGAAAAAAAAGGGTATTTTTTAAAGTCCTTGAATTTCTGCAATTACACTGTGTCCTTAGCACAAACTGCAGGAGTAGATCCAGTGTACTTGATAAAAATGTTCATAACGCAAGTTCTAATTTTGTATTTAGTATTTTGTTTTTGCTTCTGCTTTCGTATCTTCCTCTTAATATCTGAACTGTGTGTTAAATTTGGTCTCCAAGAACAAAGGAACCTTTATTTTTCTGATGAAGATGTTGGAGTTTTTGGTTTGGGGTTTTTTTTTGTTTTGTTGGTTTTTTAAAGTAGTGTTTTTGGAAATTTTCTTGTAGTATTGTCCTCAATGACTAATCTTTCTTCTGTTTTAGTTAAATATTTTACATGTCTCTTCAGTCAAACAAGATCTATTTTGATGTTCCATGTAGTGCACACATACATGTGTACACAAAGATGTAATACGGATGATTTGCTCAGATTTTTTTTTATTCTTTGTTACAGTTTATATCCTCACAATATCAAGTAATTTTTAAACCACTGAAAGTTTCTTCGATTTCTTTTCTTTCTCCAGGTTGTCATTGGAGGTAGAAGTAAGTACCTTATCAATGGTACGAATACTACCAGCAATCGTGTGCAGGATCTCTTCTGTTCCGTTGGACTCAATGTCAATAATCCTCACTTCCTCATTATGCAGGTATTGTGTGCATCTTTATAAAATCCAGAAAGAATAGAACTTGTACTACATTTGAAGCAGGATAGATAGTGGGAGAACAGTTGATTTCCTAATTGAAGCAACATCTTATTGAGTAAAAATGAAGTGTCTGTTAAGATTTCCAGTACAGTAGTTTGACCCTAAAACACACTGGTAGCACACTGGTAGCAAGGTTTTCTAAAATATGTTCCAATTTTATTTTCTTTTTTTTTCTCCTTAACAGACATGTATTGCTTTTATTATTATGCTGAAATTACATAGATTTTATTTCCTATTATATGTGTTTCATGTTAGACAATATTTTGAGTGAAATTGATATATGTGCCTTCTTAAGTAACAATTAATGAAAGAATGCTGGCTAATTGAAAAGTCTCTTATAAACATCAACATAGGGACTAGGCAAATCCCTGAAATATTTGCAAGGAATAATAAAACAGATCAGGATTTACTCAGTCAAATGTAACTGTCCCAAATTGAGTTGGGGGGGTGGGATATGGCGACAGTTGTGTACATATTCTGCTTCTCCCCAGTTATATATGAGCTACATCTCCAAAAGAACTGGTTTATGATTAGGAACTTATTCAACATCAGCAACTCAGTAAGACTCTAGAACGAACTATGCTTTACTCCTTTAAGTTGTAATCAGGAATGTGGAGGACGAGCCTAAAATACTTGTGAGGACCATTTCAAGCTTGCTAACTGAAAGTGTGACTTATCTGAACTTTGAATAACAAAACTAATTCAGTAAACTAGATTATTGTTATAGTAAAAAATAAAAAAGTGTTTGAACTTAAAATACAACAGTTTTGGGGTTTGGAGTTTTGGTTTTTCTTGTTACTACTGCATGGTACACAAACACTGTTCTTGTTTTATCTTTCTCTCACCAGGGACAAATTACCAAAGTTCTAAATATGAAGCCGCCAGAGGTAGGAAAGCTGTGGGAGTTTTTTTGTCTGAAGCTTTACTGAATTGTTTTGAATTACAAGAATCCATATTTTGGGAGGGGGACAACAAAAATAAAGGTGTTGGAAGGAGATGGGATATTTCTTATGGTAGATTTGTTCAACTCAGTTGGACATCTCATTTTTGTTGCATTGCTTTATTTTAGATTTTAGCTATGATTGAGGAAGCAGCTGGTACTAGGCTGTATGAAAGCAAGAGAAATGCTGTCCAGAAAACCATAGAGAAGAAGGAAGCCAAACTGAAAAGCATTGAAACGGTACTACATTTTAGAAAGTATACTTTCTTTCATATTTTTTAAAGATAACTGAATAATTAGTTTAGTGTGGGTTTTTTAAGTTGTTGAATATTTCATTTCTGCACCTGGAACTAGATAGTCATGCTTACCCATGTTTAGAGTTTAAAAAACCCAGAATACAAATGTTCTGTTTTATGTTTCAGGTCCTGAATGAGGAGATCAATCCAAATTTAGAGAAACTGAGAGAGGTATGGAAAAATTAAAAGCGAGGTAGAGTAGGTCTTTCAAGTACTGAAAAAATGCTTTCAGCTGCCCTGAACCAGTATGTGTTGGCTAAAACAATAGTATGTTTTCAAGCTTTGTAGAATCTTTTGATTGAGAAATGTTACCGTCTTTTCAAATACAGAGAATGTGATATTCAGGACTTCCAAGAAGTCCTAGAGAGAAATGTAAGGAGAAGGAAGAAAACAAAAGAACTAGATAAAATTAGAAGATAAAAACATGTCTTAGTTCTTAAAAAAACTGGGTCAAGTGATATTTCTGCTGTGCAGTCAATTATATTAACATGGAAAATCCTTTTTCTTACCTACAAATACTAATGTTTAGAAGTGCTTAGAAGATTTCTATAACAGTCATATGTATCATTATTTTCCTTCAAATTTTAGAGTGTTTTGTTTTGATTTTTTTTTGTCTTTTCAGGGACGAGCAGCCTATCTAGAACACCAGAAATTAGTACGAGAAGCAGAACATTTAAACCGCTATTGTGTAGCTTATCAGTTTCTTCAGGCTGAAGAAACAAAGGAATCCTCCAATGCTCTCTTAAAGGAAATGCAGGCTAATGTAGAGAAGCTTCAGGAATCAAAGGCTGAAACTGAACAGAGGGTGAGAAAACTTAATGAAGACATAGTGGAGATGGAAAAGGAGAAGGATAAGGTAAGTGCAAACAGTCGTGCTCATCTGAATGCTTGAATACAAAGAATTTTA